TATTATCTATTATTTTTGCGTTTACTCGATCATGACTTGGAGCACACAGAGGGTGTGACCGGCCGACAGGGGATGCTTACTCCTCCATGGCACTTAATCCCACCTCTGATATTTTTAAAGGTTCGTGTTTGCTCGTCTTCCAGTTTGTATTGTTCCCATGGACTTTTGAGCTTGATTACTGTTTGCTGTCTTCCATATTTCAAGACAATCAATTATAATGTCTGATATCCAAATTTTTTTTTTTAATTTAAAAAAAATCCTGATCTTTGATATTATGTTTGATATCAAAACAGGAATATTTGAAATTAAAGATTTTTCTCCTGACATCAGAAAATGCATCAACAGTTTTATAAAGGGTTTTCATACATCTTTTTAAATTTTTTTTCTTAATGAATATTCTGGTAAAAAGGAGTACATTAAACATGCGTCACGCATTTTCCCTTTTCAGGGTTCGTTTCATATTTAATATTATATATTTGTTCAATAATACAGGATTTTTGCATCCCTGATATGAACACAGGCACGCGCCCTGTATTACACACCCTATATCAGCACCCTTTATTTTACCCTGTATCACACCCTTTATTACACCTTTCCGGAACATCTCTGTATTTTTCATTCGGAGTATCTCGGATCTTTTTCTATTAATTGTTTATGAAGTTTATTTAAACTGTAAATTTTCATCAGATATTTTATGCTATTCAAAATAATAATTTGTTTGATTTATAATTATTTCATTTCCTATCGCTGTATGTATTGCCTTTGGAAAAAAATAACGAGAAAGGAAATTTAACGAAAAAAAGAACATATTCAATAATTAAGAATTAATTTACAGGTTTATATATGATTTTTTGACATTATTTTCAAATATATAATAAAAACAACAATACATGGCAAAATCTGTATCACACCCCATATCAACCCTCGACCAATATCCGCCCTCTGGCCTTCGGCCCTCGGGCTGATATTGGAGTCTCGGGTTGATATGGGGTGTGATACAGATTTTGCCATGTATTATTCTCTATATATTGCATGCTTAAGGTAGAACCTATGTCGGAAAAGTCTTTGTCACAATAATTTTCAAACTTTTCAAAATGATAAATTAGCTCTCGCTTATCAATCAGTTAAAAATATATGGTATGTTTCTTCGTTATTAAATGTAGTGCAGTCTGTACAGCGACTACATATTTTCAGCCATTTTTAGGGGTACTGGTCATAAAGAGAATATAATAATATAGACTTTATTAACTGAACCATATTAAGCAATATTATTCAAGAATAAATTCTTTTTCATTCAATTGACATAAAAGATTAAGTCCACATTTCAACGAATATAGGCAAATGTGCTCAATATTTTTTGAGTCAATTTACCACCTAAATTTGTAAATATTTTTCAAAAGTCTTAGTCAGAATGTTTTCAATCTTTAATATGATGAAGAACATACCCAAATAATTACAGAAAGTGATTAAAATATATACCTTTCCCCACAAACGAATGAGAACACTCTATTTATCCATACTTCTTTTGTTGACCTTTTTGCACTTACACAGGATTTAATTATTAAATTACTGTTTGGGGGTTACGTTCAGATTTACAATGTGAATATTTATCAAAAAATGTATTTTTTTATTTAAAAAGATAATATTTTCGGGAAATATTATTATTATACACCAACCATTATGAATAATTAACAAATAATTATGAAAGGGAATGCACGTCATTTTAGGAATGACTCTAATTCTTGGCCATATTATTCGAGTATAACATGGTTTGGGTCAGTTTACGCTTTATAATCCGCGAAGCGGATTATAAAACAGCGTAAACTGACCCAAACCAGGTTATACTCGAATAATTTTGCCAAGAATTAGAGTTATTCCTTATAATTTAATTTTAAAATCATTAAATAACTATGGATGTAAAATTTCGTTACTTTTTATTAGTTCAAATTTGCCGCTCAATAATACAACCATAGTAACGGAAGTAACGGAAGTGATGGGAATCGAGGGGAGGTAAAAACTGATACATAGGCATAGCAGCCATGTTGTTTGGTTACATGTGGTAAGATCGAATTATTGTTTGAAATTAAAGGTACATTTATTAAATCTGGAATTTTCCATGAATCCCGAGGACTGGAAATGAGAGGATTGTATGGATACAGATGATTCAGCTGGTTGTCAGGGGGGTGTGTCCCCATACCAAACCAGGTTATACAGAAATAATTTGTGTTCCTTTTTGGATATTAACCAATCAGAGGCTAGTATACAAACAAAATTAAATTATTTCATGATAGACATTACAAAATTTACACACAATTTTTAACAGATCTTTGACTCAGACACTTTTCATCAAGATATTGTACTATTTAGATTTCTTAGGATTTTTGATTACCTTCAAAATAGTTGCATGTCATTCACATTATCACAGTTGTGTAACTTCATTACATAAGACATTCTTGAAGAAAGTACGGGAAAAAGTAACATTAAATTAATTATGACGTCATAATTGATCTAGCAGTCTAAACTGATTTTCTCAGTATGACGTCATACAACGTAGGTTCTACGTTAAGCATTCGCCTTAATTTTTTGCATGAAAAGTTTAAAATACTCGATTGACTTGTACGTATGTAAGATTTAGAATATCTAGCTGTCTTTCTCTCACGTTCATATACATGTATAATCATACGATATAAGTATCTGTACGTACGACTGACAATATCCAGCTGTCCTTCCTTAACGTATGTAAGACTTGTCCTTATGGTTACAAATTGACTATCTAAACTCAGATGGAATTAATAAAAAAAGCTGAAAAATGGGAGAAAAATCATTTGTTAAATAAATGCAACCTATTTCATAAGACAATATTATTAGATTTCAGATTTCTGCGCAAATACTTCGTGTCCAGCTCACCAGCGATGTGTGAATGGAAAAAGCAAGTCTCTGTGTGTTATATCTGGTAAGTGTCGAGCCTCTGAGAGTTATATCGGATAAGCGAACAGAGACAATACAAGTGTATTATATATAGTAAGTGTAGAGAGGAAAACATCAAAGATATATGTGCTATATCTGGACAGTATAGAGACACAAAGATCTATGTGCTATATCTGGCAAATGTAGAGACACAAGGATCTATTGCTATATCTCGTCAGTGTAGAGACACAAAAATACGTGCTTTATCTGGACAGTAAAGAGGTACAAAGATCTCTGGCTATATCTTGTAAATGGTGCTATATTTGGAAAGTGTAGAGACACAAATATTTATATGCTATATCTGGTCCGAATAGAGACACAAAGAACTATGTGCTATATCTGGTGTGTCACAAAAATCTATGTCTTCTTACTGGTAGTTGTAAAGACAAAAGTGCTATATGTAGTCAGTATAGATACAAAAAATACCGTTCGCGGTGGCTCAGTCGGTAAAGCGCTAGCTCAGTGATCGGGAGTTCGAATCTCGGCCGCGACTGACCTAAGTCGAAAAAAAAAAATGGATAGCAACTGTGCCTTCGCCATGCGCTCGGCACTTTGAAGTGAAAGTTGCGGGTCCTTCGGATGAGACCTTAAAATCCGAGGCCCCGTGTCACGGCAGGCGTTGGCACGATAAAGATCCCTCACTGCTCAATGGCCCTTAGTGCCGAGTAAAGATCAAAATTTGAAGCCCTTCACCGGTATATGGTGACGTCTCTATATAAGTGAAAAATTCTGAATGGGACGTTAAACAACATACATTCAATCAATCAATAGATACAAAAAGATATATGTGCTATATCTGTTAGGTGTAGAGACTCAAAGACTTGTGTGCTATGTCTGGTCAGTATAGAGATACAAGAATCTATATTTCATAGTGTAGAGAAACATACTATAGATCCATAATGCTAATTAAATGTTCTAATTGATATTGGACATTTTTGGTTGGGTGAACATTTATAAAATAGTGACTACGTATCTTCCGTATGGAACGCACTATGCACTAAAAATATTGTGTAGTTTTTTGTTCACGTTTTTACACCACATTCATTAGTAATAACATAAACAAAATTCTTCAAAAAACTACCGTGTTTGATTCGTGTGTATCTGTTTTACCTTGTGAATCATCATATTCTTTTTTTAAAAAAAACTACAAAGGAATCTGCAATTAAACAATTTCGAAAGCATCTATTTTCTTATTAAATCGGATTAATTATATTATTTTCAAGGTCATTATTCAGAAATACTGTGATTCCGACATATCATTTAGAGTTTGAACATTATCATACGGTTTTAGCGTTTGATATTTTGTACAGTTGTGCAGTTACATGATACTCACATGGAATACTTTTGTTTTAAATCATAAAAATTTCTGTATCTGATGCATTCAGTGACTAATATGGTTGAATAGATTAGTAAATCAGTTTTATTTGTATTAGTTATTTCATTTTCGCACTTCAACGTTTCCACATTTTCTTTATCCATAGTTGCTTGAAACTGTAGAAGTTCACGCAATTGAAAATTAAAAAAAAAACATTTTAATTTTACTCTCTATCTTCTGATATTTTTTTTCACAAATCTCTTTATCTTATTATTTGTAATAGAACCCTTTACCTATATATTTGCCGAACCTTGCATTGAAAAAATGTCTAATTCACTTGATGACTGCTTAATAGTGCGACTTCATGTCGCTTTATTTGTCTCCTACCGATGATTTCTTAATGTACTTGTGTTATACAAGAAGACATATCACAAGTTTGTTGGATTTCATCGATTGCATACAGCGACAGATCCTTTTTTGTAACAGTATAGATTTCAGAGTTCAGACTCTGGCCTATCTATTGACGCACCATCATATATGACAAAATTAGACTGTGAAAAGTATGTCTATCAAAATCAAGAAAATATTTGATTTTTTACGACAGGGTGCCCGACAAATGGTTTAACGCTCCTCAATGGTAATGTAAGAAGTCATGTGATTCAAGTCGGCGATACTTTGGAATATACATGTTTCCATGGATATGCGAAGAGAATCATAGATGCCAGGTGTCTTAGTAGTGGGAAAATTGAATATGCTGAGAAAATAGCTTGCTGTGAGAACTTTTCCTTTCTCAAACAAAAGTTAAGATATAGACATTACTAAAGGATAGAAAGTATCGAGGGTTTAGAGGTTTATTATTCAATCATGCCAACTTCCATTATTTCTTTCTTTTGAATCTTTCTTTCTATCCTTGTACGTGTGTGTTATCAATTGTCTTGAAAATTATTTCAACAATTATTTCATTGTAATTTTAGTCAAAAAGGAAGGTCCATGGACGATTGCCTTCAAAATCCAGAGTAACAGTGGTGCACATCCTTTGGAATCCTTCGAAGATACTGGGGTACAACAAGAAAGAAACTCTTCTTTCCCCTCAACTTGCGTGACTCTGGATAAAGTAACCGGATGTACTACCCCCTACCGAACAGGACTCGTTGACGATTGGGAACAAATAGGGGTGCAAGAAGTAAATCATCAATTGAGTTGTGATTTATGAGAATTAATTTTCTCTAGAATTTCACTGATATTAATTAGATTCCTTTGAACTAGCTTGTAACATATCATAATCTCATAAAATTTACAGTCTTATTACGATTTTCTAGAAATAATTTATATGTGCATAAATGTATGTTTTGCAAGGGACGTAAAATAAACAATCAATAAATCAATCATAAATGTATTTTAGATTCGTTTTGTAATCACTGTTAACTCCACACTGACTCAAGAGATCGTTTTTGACGGATATAATTCGACTAACTTTGACTGGTTCTCCGGAAGTCGGGTCAAGTCGTCCACGTGGTCTGACGTCACAAACACACAGACGTACTTTTATTTCTGTTTACCAGGTGATCAAAGGTAAAATATATATATATATATATATATATATATATATATATATATATATATATATATATATATATATATATATATATATATATATATATATATATATATATATATTTATTCATTTGTTAGTGTTGTAGTTGTACACGTTTCAATAATGCTTTAATTTTCTAAATTTGTGATATGAAATGGAAAACAAAACGGGAGAAGCTTAATATTTTTCATTAGTAACTTAATTTATATAATACGAGGGGGGGGGGGCATTTGAAAAAAAATATATTGTTTGATAAAATGTTAAGCGTTTAACTGAATATACAAATAATACCACAGTCAAAGAATGTCATCAGTATTTTTCCTTAATGTAGACAGATTTACATGAAGCTTGCTTTGTCATATTAAATATTTTTCATATATTAGGAAAATACTTGAATTCTGAGTTAAGTTACAGGTGTCATAACAGTATATTTAGGTTGGGGTTTACGACAAAACATGGCTTCGCTACCGATTCCCATGTTCAGAAGGTCATGGGTTCAACTCCGGCCGCGACTGACCTAAGAAGATAGAAAAAATAGGTAGCAACTGTCCTTTCGCCTAGCGCTCGGCACTTCGTAGTGAAAGTTTCGGATCTTTCGAATGAGACCTTAAAAACCGAGGCCCCGTGTCACGGCAGGCGTTGGCACGATAAAGATCCCTCACTGCTTAGTGGCCCTGAGTGCCAAATAAAGGTCTAAAGTTGAAATATATGTTGACGTCTCTTTATGAGTGACAAATTCTCAAATGGGACGCAAGACAACATAGAATCTATCAATCCCGATTCTGACGTTTTTGCACAGACTGGGACAGATTTTCTTCTGAGATGAAAAATGATAGTAAACTTCCCGCATTTACCAGATTTATTAAAATTTAGGGCTTGCACTTGATTTTCAACACATGCTCGTCTTCACGGAGGTGCCTCGCTGGATGTTTCTGTGTATTTTTAAAGAAATAAGCTATCATTTTTAAACTTTACAGGTTGGTCATGTGATCAAATCTCATACAGCCTGAGGGTTTTATGGAAGAATTGATCACGAACCATCCCGTATTTACATCCCAATAAATGTTGAAAAATGATACTGATTATTACTTGTATTTATGACACTTTGGATGTTGAAATCGCGCTTAAGCGATTGAGTGGCAATATGAAAACAATCTATCCTTCTGTCTTCGACAATGCAGAAGTGAAACAAGAACAAGATGGATTACACGATCAGTATGTGCTGGTCCCCGCTGACAAAGCAAGTAACAAAATTGTCTTTGTTTGTAAGGCTCATTATTTGAATTGTATTTTAGAGGAGCTAGAATTTAATTCTGCTAGTGGTAATCCAACTTATACCCATAGCTCTCTTTCTAAGGAGGAAATTCCTCAAAACCTTATGTCAGTTTTAAATATTTTTGATATTCCAAAAAAATCATAATGAATTTATCTTACCACACCTATACTGTATTCCAAAACTCGTTAAAAAAAAGATACATAGCGAGTTCCAGAAAATGTTTTACCGAGCCCTTTTTTTACTCCTCGCTAAAATATTTACAGAAGTGGAGAAGAAACTTCAGGAGTACTGTACAACAGTATATTCGAGAAGTGGTGTAAATCAGATGTGGATACTTAAAAGCTTTAAGGAACTTTTTAAAAAAATGAAATTTTACCAAAATCAATTATATCAAAACGTACGATTTTTCAACACTTTGTACAACCATTCCCCACGATAAATTAAAATCCAAGCTTTTTGAAATCATAGCTGCTTTTTCAATAAAAATGAAACTCATAAATATACTTACCTTTTCATTGGTCATTTGCAAAATTATTTTGTTAAAAACATTCTGATTGTCCACAAATTGTCCACATAAGTGCTCTGAAGTTGATTATTAAAAAGATGCTTGAGTTTCTGATTGACAATATCTATGTAGTTTTTGGAGATCAGGTCTTCCAACAATCCAGTTGCGCCCCCTTATTAGCAGACCTATTTTGTATTCATATGAAGCAGAATGTGTTCAAAAACTTCTACATGAGAAGTAGAAAACACTTGCTGTGACCTTCAAATTGACATGTAGATATAACGACGACGTACTATCAATTAACAATAGTTACTTCCATTCATATGTAGACTCGATATATCCAGTGAACCTGAAATAAAAGACACTGCAGAGTATGACACATCTGTTTCATATTTGGATATTTTACTAGAAAAAGACGTTAAAGGTAACCTAACAACAAAGTTTTATGATAAATGTGATGACTTCAACTTTTAAATCGCCAACTTCCCTTACTTATATAGCAATATACCCTTATCATCTGCATATGGGATTTTTGTCTCCCAGTTGATTCGATACGCATGCCCTACCTATGAACAATTTCTGAAACGAGGCAAGCTATTGACAAACAAGTTATAGAGCTATCAACAATTCGTTTGAAGTCATCAGTTTCGAGTTTTATGGTCGATACAATGACCTTGTCAGCAAATACAACATATCATTTAGTCAAATACTGACCGACATTTTTCATTCTAATTGTTAGGCCATTATTTTCACTCTGAATTGTCTACGGTTTTTCCGTTTATTCCTGATCATAACAAGGAGCACATGGCGGAGGTGACCGGTCGGCAGGGGGTGTTCACTTCTCCATGGCACTTGATCCCACCTCTGATGTTTTTGGAGGTCCGTATTTGCTCTGCTCCCGATTTGTATTGTTTTAATGGACTTTGAGCTTGAATACTTTCGTTATCTCCATATTTCATTTACAATTTTTGTTGATTTATAAGAAATACTTGTGTACTTTACTTTTAAATTAATTAAATGATTTATTTTTTTCAAAGCTCAACGTTGAACACGTCGACCACTTATAATGTACCTGTGAAATTACATCGAACTTTTACGACTAAATAATGAATTTATGGTCATGTGACGAAAATGATTCTGTACAAATAGTGTTACAGAAGAGAAAATATTTGTAAATTTAAAATATTGGTACTTAAATGTTTCTATTCACAACCGCGAATTTTTCCCTTATATAACACCATTTGAGCAAGTCGTAAAGTTCATATAACCCTGAATTCATTTTTTAATCGTAAACGATCGACGAAATTTCAGAGTGACGTCAGCCGACGTGTTCAACACTTTTAATTTATACTGTAGGGATTTGAAATATTTGTTTTAAATCAGTCACGAGGGTAAATATTAATAATAAGGTATCATTTCCATATATATATATATATATATATATATATATATATATATATATATATATATATATATATATATATATATATATAGATCATTTCTTCCTCATGGAAATTAGTCTAGTAATATGTGATAAGATGAACTGTGAACAGATCTTCAAGGTTACAATGTACCCGTTTCCTGACTAAAAGAACAACGATCTAACCTCTTACCTTTTTTATTTCTGTACAATTCACACCAAACCATTATCTGAAAAATACTATGCGTTTTTTGCAAGTTTTGAAAAGAAAGATCCATTTGAAAAAACTTGTCCTAAATTCAGGTCTGTGTTGATTTAGGGGTCTGGTGGTTTTCCTTCTGAGATATCATCATAGTATGGTAAAGTAACAGTTAGGTAAAGCATGGAGCACATGGAAATGCGTCAGTTTGCAGCCTACCAGAGTGATTTGCAGTGCACTTTCGGCAGGCTACGAAGTATTGCACGTGCTTTGCTTTCAACTACATGTTTCATTTCAGACGCTTGATTCTGGATTTGCTGCTTTTTATATACACAGATTTATAAGACACAGTTTTTCAGTTTCATCCTGTTTTTCAATATCCAAACTTTCTCTATCTTGCAGTAGCTTATTTTTACAAGATCATCTTTATATTCAGTGTAGATATACACCCGTTAGTTGGTACACTTTCAGAGAACTTGTGCACATAAGCAGACCTGTTTTAGGACTGGCTGTTACTGTATTCTTTTCTAACAGAAATTTACAATAACTGTGACTATCTAAATTACGTTTATGTTTTTAAGAGGTACAATCACTAGAGTTTGGACCATTATAAAGTCATACCATGGGTGCGCAGGTGACATGGGATGGTTTCTCTCGTCCTTCAATCCTACGAGTGGTTGTAACTTTGATACGACCTCCAATTTAGCATTGCTTTATCCAGTTTTTCCAGTGTGCCCTAAATCAACTGCGTGTTACTTTTCTTCTGGTGAGTATTGACTGATAAAATGATACATTTTCTAGAACGATTCAAATTAAATTGTAAACTTACTGCTTCGACGAAAAGCCTTAGAGGTATGTTTAATTTTATATTGCAAAATATGCGAAATTAATTTTCTAAATGAGAAGAAATTGTATATCTGATCCTAAACTAGTATGAGTTGATATTTTAAAATTATTATCTAAAATAATTCGTTGTTTAAAAAATAAAAAGGACATAGTAAGATTTTTAAAAAGTAAATGGAAAGAATCATGCCATGAGTGATTATTAATTACAAAAAAATAATTAGAACAACTTGTACATATTGTCATTTACAACAGACAAATAAAAGAATCAAAAATATATCATGACTGAAATGGCAAAAGTATGTAAAGCCCAATCTTTTTTTTCTGGTTTCTTTCTTTTATTTGACTATTACTTACGTTAATGGAATTGATTTTAAGAAATGGAGTTTGTAAAGCAATAACATAAACCCATAAAATCCGTAAAAATATAATGTTTTGTTTATGAATTTCAGAGACGGTAGAGGCAGAGGCATTTGCTGTACTTCTAAAGGCGGAGAAGTTGAATTAAAAATTTCCTTGCATTACGTTGTCCTTTAATTGGCATTTCTATTCATCAATATTTTTTTTTTGGTTCAGTTCAAGTAACATTTCCCAAATTACTTTAAAATCTACTTATGTTTTCTTTGTTAATTTTTTGCACAAGAATGTAAAATTTAGGGGGAAAAATGAATAGCTTCATCGGGATGGGAATCAAATTATTGTTTTAGTACAAATCACATTAATCAAATTGCAGAAGATGTGTGTGCACCAATGTTCTTATCACAGCGATTGTTAGAAGGTGATAACATACTAATCTATGCTAATTTTCTGTTTCCAAGGATTCATGTAAAATAAAGTCTTCTGGGGCTCATTTTCATCCTCATGACTTAGAACAGTGTTCATCTAAGCCCAAACTCTGCTAAAATAATCTTTGCTTTCAAACCATTCCAAAAGAACCAGACATTAATCCAAGGCAGGCCTCCCTAGGATCGAGAAATTTCAAGCACAATATAAATGCCTCGGAAAATGCGCCTTAATGAAGTGTCACATTGCATTTACTGATTATCAATATCAAAAGAAGCCAATACCAAAAAAAAAGATTTGCATTCTTTGATGCCTTGTACATTATAAAAATGGATGAAGTTGAGATGTTATGCATTGTCAGTTGATTTTTTTCCTACATTTTTTTTTATATTTTTTTTTCTTACTGTTCACAAAAATCTTTTGTAAGAAAAACTAATTTTTTATTCTAAGATCAACTTAAAAATAATAATAAAAAAAAAATAGTGATTCAAAAAATGAATGCCTTTTGAACGTAAAGCATGTGTTAGGTTTAGTTAATGTGAAGATGGTAGAAAAGGTCCAAAGATCTTGAAATCTTAGATTTACACAAAAGAATTGATAAAAACTGTCATTATATAGATGAAAACGAATTAATTTATATACCTTGTTCACAATTTGTAATTTGTAGTATGCACACATGATTTGTATTTTTTTTTAGTTTACATGAGCAATTTTTAATACACATAAATGTAATTTCATAATTAGTATACACAAAATTGTAATTTTTTAATTAGTAAACACACATATTTGGAATAACCTAATCAGAAAACACACACAATTTGTAATTTACTATAAACACACAATTGTAATATTTGGAACGTTACTGTATCGGGGTCCCATTGGAGTATACCCGAGGAGAGAGTTTTATATGAACTTATCAATGCAGGACTCCTGCAGAAGCATGGTATCAAATCGACTGAGTTAGTTCTACTCCATCTGAAGGGATCTATACTAGAAACAGTCTTGCTTTAGTGAGATAAGAAAAAAATTGAAGATACATGTGTACCTGAGTTTTCCATATTTCTGGATTGTCGAATAATCGAATGAAAAAATCTGCTTTTCCTGATGACTGCTTTCATGTAATTTACATTAATTATTAACTCTTTCTATATAATTTCCTAAATCATAATTATGCTATTTTATTTTGTTAACAAACAATTTTCTTTCAGCCTTGTTTTACATTAATATTTCAATAAAAGTAAGTACAGAGAAAACATCCAGACTAAACATTGAACTAAAAATCAGTAAGTAGCAGATGTTTTTTAGTAACACTGGTTTATCAAATTTCTTTGTGTTTTGATAATTGATTTTGCATGTAAATAATTATTTCACTTTCTATATCCTCTATTATTAAAGCCTGGAAGACTCTTTACAGGGTTATCCCTTCAGAGAAAGCATATTGAATAGTTAAATTGGGGTTAAGAGTTCATTGGACGTCAATTTATTGATGGAATTTTTACTCTTATGAATAATTATGAATTATGAATAGTTACTTTCATCCTGTGCAGTCATCGGCTTCCGTACGCACTTAATCATTTAGTCTGCAGAGATTTGGTAGTAGGAACCGACTTATTTTGATATTTTTCCATTGTGTTGTATTTGCATCTTGGGACAATAAAATGTCAATTAAGAACAAAGGATATTAGGCGAATAATCAGGATAGTTTTTTAATCAATATTTGTTGTCCTTGAAAAACGTGTATGTGTTCAATTTAATCAAAAAAGTAATTCCATGGTATTTTCAAACCCACCTCTAGACGTTAATATTCTTAATGCGACAATACAGTTTGTTTTATTACCATTTAAGATTTAATACTTATTTGTGTAAAATGCTTGTAAGTTTATACAAATAGTCAATGGAAATCACACAAAAATACAACTAAAAATTAAATTACTGCCGATTTTAAAAAGAAGATGAAGATGGAAATGACCAAGCGGATTCTCGTTATTTGTGTTTTGGAATTATTGGTGAATGTGAATATACAAGGATGCACTCCAATGACAATACCAGAATCAAAACTAAAAAATAGCTCGCTTCAAACTCTGGATTTGATCGGCCAGAAGATGTGTGTGCACCAGTGTTCTTATCACAGCGATTGTAAGGCTGTTAATTTCAACAAACGCCAGCTGACCTGTGAACTTTTGACCCGCTCTGGACGGGAAGAGCCAGGGTATCTCCAGTATGATGCCGATTCCGTTCATATCCACAACATAACCAAAGACCAGGTTTTTCCATTTTTTCTTTTCTTAACAGTTCCTACAACGTCAGTTAAAGTGTCTATTTTTGTCCTATTTAAAGTTTGAAATTGTTAACATTGTAAATTTTAAGTCCACAGATGGCATAAGATAAAGACTACAATTAACTTATTTCAAAGATCAGTCATAGTTTTTGTGTGGCCTGCAGAGCAGAGCGGCACTTATGGATAAGATATTGCCTTATAATAAGCACCTCTTATTTTTACGTTTCCATCGGAATCGGGGTTTCCCAGTATCCATTTTTTATTCGGAATCCTCCTATACAACTGAATAAAATTTTATTAGATTTTCACATTTTTAATCTTTATGTTACACCGTTGTGTTGTGCACTTTTAATTTTACGTTTTGATCAGAAAGATATTTGGGATTTCTTATTTCAAAATATGAACTTTGCCATTATTCTTGTCAAAGGAATTATCCATTTTGTTAACGCAGTTCCTTCTTAAACCTCGAACGAATATCGATGATATTTTTAAAGAATCACCCTTGACCGTATGAAAACTCCTATTGGAGCGGGAGTATCATTTTGTGAGCTCAATCAAGTTTCTATTCTGCTTTTCAAATAAAACATATCCTTGAAAAGTGATGTAGTAGTGAACAAGATAGAGAAATTACAGCTCAAACAAATGCATATCGTCAATAATATAAAAATGCTTTCTTTGTCCCTTTTCATAGAATAACTGCTATATCACCAATACAAGTCCAAAATCTTTCTCCTCCTAAATCATAACAACCCAGTACATAACAGGCAATATTTACGAGTTAACGCTTATTCGAAATCTCATCAGATTATCTTAACCTTTCGAAACATAGACAAGAATCAGTAATTTTTTTTTTTTTTTTTTTTTTTTTTTTTTTTTTTTTTTTTTTTTTGCAAATTGTATGAGGGAGACGAAAAATATCAAGAGTTTTAGCAATCGGTTGGCTCTTGTCTTGTGACAACAGGTATGACCCCTAAACGAATCCTACATGTATATGTCCAAAGGCAATATGCACCGAGCATACACCTTATAATTTTGAAGTATAAGAACCCTTGATAAAACTGCTTTCATATTCGTAAAGTTGTTTAACGAATTGATAATTATAAACAAAACAAAAAACGTTAATCATTATGCTTTAACGTGTATGACGTCATATAGATGATTAATATGCTTCAGGAACAGAAACTGTCTTTTAAGAGTTCAATAAATTAAAAGTTATTGATGTTAAATGTTTAAATAAAATTATCACTTCAAAGCAACAAAACTCAAAATTTAGTCAGATTTCGTATTTTGGGGGTTGGGGTGAAAGGGGATGGGTGGGTTATTGTCCTTTTTTGATTTCCAAATTACTGTTTATACATGCACCTGTCTTAATATTTCCTGATTTTACTTTATTAACAAAAAACCTGTACATCAGGACTGAATTAAATCTACTCCAAGACAATTAACTTTACGGACAGACAGACGGACATTTTAGTTCAAATATTCCTTCTTTTCCTATGAAATCGATATTTTCACTATAAAAATCAATTTTCCATACAAATTTATTCCAATATCCAAGAAAATTTATGAATTCCTTAAGCTTTTTTAATATGTTCATTATTATGATCAGATTTCAATCATTGATCTTTAACCTCCTATTACCATAGAATTTAAACACATTGAAAAGTTTCCGTCATATCGCTTACTGTGACATCATTTCGCTGAGTCAGAACTTAACATCATTTCTCATAAAGAGTTATCTTTCCTTTAAGAGTCAAAATATTCATGTGAATTATAAATTCAAAGCATATATGTTGTATTTGGAGACAGTTTCATTGTGCAGTTTCGAATGTTGCTTAGAATTAATTTGAAAAAGTTTGAAAATAATGTTATCAACAGTCCTTATCATTTCATTTCATTTTTTTTTTTTTTTTTTTTTTTTTTTTTTTTTTTTTTTTTTTTTTGATTTTGTTAATAATCTACAACTAATTCTTTTTAACCATATTTCCTATATATATTCCTGAACAGCATATACACTGTGCAGCAGATTTCTCAATGCTATAGTTTAACACAACCAGTGCACACAATGAGAGCAATTGCGTTTATGGTAAAATAAGTGTATTGACGGGAAGAACAGAGCATATGCAAAAATAAAGTAATAAAAACAACTCAGGATTGGTTATGTTACGTTGTAGATTAAATTTAATGCCACTCTGTATTTAGATTTCAGATTTCTGCTCAAATAAGACATGTCCAGCCTATCATCGGTGCGTGAGCGGAAAAAAGAAAGCGTTATGCATCATCAGTGGTGAGTAAAAAGAGCCAAGGAATTTATCTAGGATCGAACGACAAATTTAAAATCTAAAACTTAAGAGTGATTGGTAGAAAATGGTAGGGCTAATGTCTGTAAAAAGACCTGTTGAAGAAGTACAGATAAAGCGAAGATCTTCATTACTAAATAAATTAATAATAAAAATAATACGAAATGATAGGTGTATGTCAGTTAACGCAGTTTAAGGTTGCTGCTAAAGACGGCAAAGCTTTTTGAAAAAGCTATATCTGTCTATATACATAATTCAAGTCAAAAAAATTGAACACTCCAATTCATTTGTCTACTCTCTCTCACAGATTTGTTGAATTTTCTTTTTCTTTTTCTACAGAATGCTCGACGCAAAATTTAACGCTCAAGAATGGTTTTTTAACCTTGAATCGCTTGCTTATTGGTGATATTTTGGAATTCACTTGCGCTAATGGCTACTCAAAAAGAAACGTCACCTTCCGGTGTCTTAGTAGTGGGAACATTGAAAACGCTGAAAAATTAGCATGTTGTACGTATTAAGTTTTAATTTATAAAATTATAATTCGAATGCTATCATATGTGTATAACCAGGTAGTTTAAGACTCTAAAAATTAGTTGTCATTGACCTATACTTTGTAAAAAAAAAAATATTTTCCCAATTATTATGCTTCAGATTTCTTTTTTGAAATGAATACTTTCACGCAAGCAAGACTGCATAGTATTAATACAGATCAGACAATTCAATCTGCATAAATCCACTATATAGAAAATACTCCTTGTGTTGTGGTCAAAGAAATATATTTACGTTTTCTAATATGACATTTTTAGACAAAAAAGAAGGCCCATGGACGATTGTCTTCAAAACCCAGAGTAACAGTGGAGCCCATCCTTTACAATCGTACAACAACACCGGAACACAACAAGAAAGAAACTCTTCTTTCCCGTCAACCTGTGTGACTCTGGCTAAAGTACCCGGATGTACTACCCCATACAGAACAGCACTCGTTGACGACTGGGAACAATTGAAGGTTCAGAACGTAAGAAAAATAATCCTTCTTTACCAAGAATAGCTGTATTCTTATAAGTCTACTTTATAAAATGTCTATATAATCTCGTGTAAAGGTAATATTACAGTAATTCTAGAAAGGCAAACTAGGGCCCTGTATATAAAATGACGTACAACTAAGACCAACAATCATAGATGATCCCAATTGCCTGCCTTAATTACCAAGTGTAACATTGTGAAAGCAAGATGCCCATTTGCCACAATGCTCAGCTGAGTCGCTAAATTCTCTTCTTGAAAATAGATATGCAGATAATATATTTTCCATGATTCCGGTATAAACGTTAAGACTTAGATTTTATAAAGGGATAAATATGAACAATGAATGATCACAAATCAATACAAATCTGTGAACAGAGCATAGAACACGGACCCCTAGAAATTCCAGTGCCTTCTGTCTCCAGAGGTGGGATCAGGTGCAATGAAATATAGAGATAACGAACAGTAATCCAGCTCAAAAGTCCATAGAAAGAAATGATATTGTTACAATGGACTTTTGAGCTTTATTACTGTTTGTTATCTTCATGTTTAAAGTCGATATTTCGTAATTTCTATTGTAGATCCAATGATCTTGTTTGCAAATACAATCTATAGTTGAGCCGAATGTTAACTGCATGATGTTTTCATACAAATTGTTAGGCCATTATTTTCACACTAAATTGTCACACTAAATTTCACACTTTGAATATGCAACAGAAGTATGGGTAAATATTTCCGCAAATGGTAGCTGTTGGCAGGTGGGTTGATGGGGAAGACTTTCAACGGTCTAAAAAGTTAACATTCGCATATTCTGTGGTCGATACAGTGACCGTCAGCAAATACAATTAATCTAATTATTAAGTCAAATGTTAGCTGATGTTTTTCATACAAATTGTTAGGCCATTATTTTTGCTGAGTTGTCTGCGGATTCTTCCGTTTGCCCGATCATGGCAAGGAGCACACGGCGGGTGTGGCAGGTCGACAGGGGATGCTTCCTCCTTCATGAAAACATTAGAGGTCCGTGTTTGCTCTGCTCCTAATTTGTATTGTTCTAATGGACTATTAAGCTTTATTACTGTTCGTCATCTTCATATTTCATTTTAACTGTTAAAAGTTAACAATAACTAGTCACGATTTTCATTGTGCGGGGAAGTTAGCTTTCCGGAACTTTCTTATACATAAGAACTACATGTACTTAACTTCTTATACATAAGAACTACAAGTTCTAATTTTTAAAAAAAGAGCTACATTTACTTTCTTTTAATCTAAGAAATTACTAAGCTTGTACTCACATCAGTTCTTAATTATTTAAAGTGATATACAATATAAACAGCTTAACCCAACTACTTATAAAACCTTGATAAAGGACGAACAATGTCAGATTTTATTAGAAATAAACAGTATGAAATGGAAATAGATATTTTATAAATACCATACTGCGTGATAACCCAAACTTTAAAAGATGTTACGTGACTTGGATCTAAATCAGCAATATTCTTTAAAAATATTCAATAATATGTTTAAAATCAAGTTATTGTAACATAGAACACGTATATATTAAATTACAGAAACTCCACCAATCAAAAAAAAAAATATTTATCAAGACCTAAGTGTATCTTCTACCAAATCATTTGCTAAAATCAAGAAGTGTTGATTCACATCAATGTAAAATGAATTCATTTAATGTGAAATTTAATGGGGAAAAAATAAACAAACTGATTTAAATTCTAAATAAAACATGAAGGGTAACTGACTACACTGTGCCAATAAAAAGAACTACAAAAAATATCAAAAGTATGTCTCAAGGAATTTCGTATAGTTATATGCACAACACAATTTAAATAGAAATTTATATGAAGTTCTTCGGAATCAATACGGATGGGGATGATACATGTACTTACCAAAAATATTTATTGTTTATCCTATACCCAACATGCATAAATTCATTGGGGTGGGGATTTACCAGATTTACTCCACCAACAGAAATTGTGATAAAAATCATCACAGGTATTTCAAAAAATAAGCTATTCTATATCGAGTTTTACAATCAAAATGTTGAATTGGTTTGTCTAGTGCCTCTTTTTTTATTCTTGAGTTCCGCAATGCCAAGTTATAAGTCTGTGGTTATTAATACTAATTCGTTTCCAAATTCATTTCATCTGTTTTAAGACTGTCAGTAGGAAGGGTTCTGTTGAAAAATTTTCGCTGAAATCAGGACTCTTTAAAATTAATAACTAAATCTGATTCACAATAAATGTTCGAATTAACATTGAGAAAATTTTCAAAAATAAAATTATAGATCTCACCTTTAAAATGGTGAAATCGACTTCCGTCCTTAGCAAATGGTAATAAAAGTTTACGTTCGGTTTTCAATAAAAAAAAAAAAGATTCATGTTTCATTCTCTTGAACAAATAGAAATAGATTCTGTTCAGATTAATTTATGAAAAAGATTTTTTGCATTATCATGTATTTCAATATATTCTTCCCGAAAAAGCACCTTTGATGTATTCTGTTTTTATAACAGTGTCCCTATGAGCATACATTAGCATCCCCACTATCAGTATCTAACCAGAAACCTTTTTATTCTTCGTTTTATGTCATTTTTTATTCATTGAATATCCTATATATTTTAAAATATATAACCTGCTTTTAGGTTCTATTTACTGTGACGGTTAACTCGACATTTAAACAAGAGATCATATTTGACGGACGCAATTCTTCTAGTTTTGACTGGTTCTCCGGAAGTAGGGTCATAAACTCATCTTGGTCAGATGTCACAGAATCACAAACCTATCTCTTTTTTGATATTTTAGGATTGCAGGAGTAAGTACATGTACCATATGATGCCCTAAAATGCATATTAAAGAAATATTTGTCTCTCACTCTCCTTGGTTCAACTCTATAAGAACAAGATTTAATCATTTCAAACCAATCGAAAGATTAATGTGTTCCCCTCTTCAGTGATCCTCTTCCTCAAAATTCTTATATTTCAGTTCCATCGTAAATAGATTTTGGACCATAATGAATTATCATCAGGGCTGTCCGGGTGACTTTGGCTGGTTTTCCGCGTCATACAATCCTCCATATGGATGTTCCTATGATTTGACATCTCTGTCCTACCCAGTGTTTAGAGCGTCTCCCAGTTCAACGGCTTGTGTAATGGCATCTAGTCAGTATTTCTAGATTCAATCATTTGATAAACTTGTAACAAACTTAAAAGAATAAAACAAAAAGTTTGAACTTTATAAGTAAGCTAGGAGATATGTTTTGTCTTAGAAACACATGACTATTGATAGATTAAATAATATTTAGTGCAGAAATCGGATAAGGCAAAATTGCCATCACTTGCCTAATAACATGTTATATATGCAAATGCAACATTTCTTCGAGTTTAGTCAGTTGTAAAACTTTCACTTGGGAAAAGATCGGCTATTTTACCAATTACCCGGTAGTCATATGGAAAATAAAGGTATATTCAAGAATAACCAGCTTTATACTTCCATAACTGCAATATCTCTGCAAGTTTGGTAAGTGTAGATGAAATATGAAGATAACAAACAGTAATCATTGAAACAATACAAATTTGTAGCAGAGAGGACATCTGAAAACATCAGAGGTGGGATCAGGTGCCATGGAGCAGTAAGCATTCCCTGCCGATCGGTCACATCCGCCGTATGCTGCTTGTCATGATCGGGCAAACTAAAAAATCCCTAGACAATTCAGTGTGAAAATAATGGCCTTACAATTTGTAGGTTAAACGTCAGTCAACATTCGACTTAATGATAGATTGTATTTACAGACAAGTCATTGTATCGAACAGAGAATTTGCAAAATGTTGACTTTAAACGAGACTGTTGATATTCTTTTTCATCAACTTGTTTGTGAATTGCTTCTCTCGTTTTAGAAATTATTCATCATAAAGTTTTTAACGTCTTTTCTGGTAAAATATCCAAATATGAAACAGATGTATTGGACTCTGTGGCATTTTTTATTTCGAGTTCAATGGGATATATCGAATCAACGTAGGAATGAAAATGATAATTTTTAATTGATAAAGCTTCGTCGATATATCTAAATGTTGAATTGAAGGCCACAGCAAGAGAATTATTCGTTTCATGTAGAAGTTTCTGAATAAATTCTGCTTCATATAAATATAAAAATAGGATGCATAAAACGGGGCGCAGTTAGTACCAATGGGAATTCCGACAGATTGTTGGAAGACTTGTTCTCCAAAACCTACTTAGATATTGTCAATCAGAAACCCAAGCAACCTTTAAATATCTCATTTGGGTACTTATGTGTACAATCAGAATGTTTTTTTAACAAAATAATTTTGGAAATGACCAATGACCGGTAAGTAAATTATGAGTTGAATTTTTATTGAAAACGCAGCTGTCTATGATGTCAAAGAGCCTGGACGTCAGTTTGATAATGATTGGCAAATGACTTTTAAAATTTTGAATATCCAAAACATTTAATGTATTCACTCAACCAGAGATAATAGCTAACATGCACACGAAGCGTACTGCATGGATACTTTGCAAAAATGGTAAAAATAGACTAATAATTACTTGGTAAAGGACTTTTTCTTAAACACCTTATCGATCACTCATCCAGAAAATATTGCTCAAGCAGCAGTAACGAATGACAGTAGTTTGCATTTCTAGATGCAACAACTATGCAAAATGAGTTAAGTAGAACTTAACGAAACGTAAGCACTACTGTACAACATATCAAGAAGTGGTGTTAATCAAATATTCATACTAAAAAGCTCAAAAGAAATTGAAGAAAATTTGAAATCAAAAACGTTTACCAAACTCAATAGGATCTAAACCTATTACTTTTCAGCACTAAGTACAATCATTTCCCACGTTAAATTAAAGACCTGTCATTTAATCATCATAGCAAACTGCTTCTTCAATAAATATGGAACTCACAAAAGTTCATATTTTGTCAATGATATCTACAAACTTACTTTGTTAAAAATCATTCTAATAATACACAGAAGTACCATGAGAATAAAGTTAAAAAGATGCTCGGGTTCCTGATTGGCAATAACTATGTAGTCTCTGGAAACCTGGCCTCAAGACCATAAACTGAGAACAGACTTAAGTCAAAATTTCAAACCAATACAACTTTTGAAATAATTTTGATAATGTAAAAAAATTTCACCATATGTTTAAATCTAAATGTTATATAAAAGTGCAAATTTTTAGGCAAGTACATTAGATAAAACTTGAGATATTAAATATTAAAATTTTGACTTAAGTCTGTTCTCAGTTTATGGTCTTGGGGCCAGGTTTCCAGAGACTACATAGATATTGCCAATCAGGAACCCGAGCATCTTTTTAACTTTATTCTCATGGTACTTCTGTGTATTATTAGAATGATTTTAACAAAGTAAGTTTGTAGATGTCATTGACAAAATATGAACTTTTGTGAGTTCCATATTTATTGAAGAAGCAGTTTTCTATGATGATTAAATGACAAGTCTTTAATCTTGGGGCCAGGTCCTCTAACAAGCAGTTGGAATTTCCCTGGGCACTTCTTGTGCTTCGTAACTAGTAGAGCTGTATTTTTTATTTATATGAAGCAGAATTTATTAATAAACTACCACAATAAAAACAAAAGAAATCTCCTGCTGTGCAGTTCTTGAAAGATGTTGAAACAAGAATATCAATAGTCTCATTTAAAGTCAATATTTCGCAAATTCTATGGTCGATACGACCTTGTCAGCAAATACAATCTACCATGATGTCGAATATTGACTGAAGTTTTTCATACAAATTGTTAAGCCATTATTTTCACACTGAATTGTCTACAGATTTTTCCGTTTGCCCGATCATGACAAGGAGCTCACGTTGGGTGTGACTGGTCTACAGGGGATGTTTCCTCCTCTGTGGCACCTGATCCCTCCTCTGATGTTTTCAGGGATCTGTGTTTGATATGCTCTCAATTTGTACTGTGTCTATAATAGATGCTACCTCCCATGTGGCACCAGATCCCTCCTCTGATGTTTTCAGGGGTCCGTGTTTGCACTGCTCTCAGTTTGTACTTTTTAACATTTTATCTGTCATAGACTAAAATGTTGATCAATCAAAGTTAATTATGGAAGAATTACTGATGTAAATGAGGCATGAATAACGCAGTTTTCTTACATTATAATAACATTACCTGTATTTTTATTTCTTTTCAGGCACGGTGGAAGCAGAAGCATTTTCAGTTTCAATTTTAGCGAAGAGTTTGATCTGAATGAAGACCAAAGGGGAAAATACATTCATTTTACCATATAAACACTGTTATATGACTAATGAAAGTCAATAAATAAGTTGAATGTTTTTCATTGTTATCTTGCACGTTACAATAATCCGTAAAAAAAAAAAAAAACTTAAAAGGTGGGGACAGAAATGTACCACTATATTATTTTTTATTTTTTTATTTTTTTATTTTATTTTATTTTTTTTTTTTCATTATTTATTTTCTGTTTTCGTAAAATGTCTTTGATCAGCACTTGAAACTAAACAGTCAATGGATGAAAAGAGGAATGTGTGATATTAGAAAATCTGTCGCAGATTCCTTTTCAACACATTATCAGAATAGTATGGGGAGATCACTCTAAATTCTATCATGTTATATATAAAAAATGACAGGGCGTTTTCTTATCTCAGATATTTTTTTTTTCTTATTGTAATGCACAAGCAGGTGAGGCAAGAAGTTTTTAACGCAGCTGAAAATTCTTTTGAAAAATCTTTATTTAATCAAGATTGTATTGAGCAAGAAGCCTAAAGATGGAAACTATGTAATAAGTTTTACATTATCCGTATTAACTACCTCAACTTAAGTGTCATTGATTGTCTGTGAGTTTGTGTGGTTATACTTGATCCACTTTTGACAGCTGATGATGAAAAAGGTGAAGATAACAAACAATGATCAATCTCAAAAAATCTACAAACAATACAAATCTGTGAACAGGGCATAAATCACGGACCCCCCCCCCTCCCGAAATTCCAGAGTTGGGATAAGGTTTATAGGAGGAGTAAGCATCCCTGTTGACCAGTCACACCCGTCATGAGCCCTATGTATTGATCAGGTAGACGAAGCATTCCGTAGTCAAACTTAGTATAAATTAAAACAATTGATATGAAACACATCAGCCAAAAAACGACCCAATTATAGTTTATATTTGCTAAAAAGGTCATTATAACGACCATAGAATTTACGAAATGCTGACTTTAAACGAGGTTGTTGAAATCCCTGTAACGTCAAATTATCTGTCAGGAGCCTGTCCTGGTTTAAAAATTGTTCGTACTCAGAGCATGTTCTTAAGTATCAAATAAGTTGAGAGACGTAAACCTAACATGCAGGTGTTAGCGGAATATTACTACATAAATAAGGAAAGTTGACGATGGAAAAGCTGAAGTCATCTTGTTTGTCATACAATTTACTTGTTAGTTGGCCCTTATCGTCTATAGTCAGACACTGACTAAAGACACTCTGTGGTCTTTTATTTCAAATTCACTTGGATATATACAGTCGACATGGAAATCACTATTGTTAATTGATAAAACGTCTATATATTTGAATGTCGAGATGAAGGCCGCAGCATGTGTTCTCTTTTTCTCATGTGGAAATTTTTGAATGAATTCTGCTTCATAGGAATATAAAAACAGCTCGGTTAACAAAGGAGCATAATTAGTGCCCATCGAATTTCCAATTGTTTGTTGGAAGACCTGGAATATGTAAATAAGGACTTCTAGCATCTTTTGATATCAACTTCAGATTCCTGTTGTGTAGATCAGAGTGATCTTTAACAAAGTGATAATGTTGCTAAACAATTAAAGATGCGAAAATTTCCGAGTTTCATTTTTAATTGAAAAAGCAGTTGTCTATGATTCAAAAAACCTAGTTTTTCATTTATTGTGAGGAATGGTTGTATAAAGTGTAGAAAGGTCGTACGTTTTGATGTTATTGACTGTAGAAAAATTTAGTGACTTTAAATTTTCTAAAAGTTTTTTTTAAAGTTTTTGATAATCCTTATCTGATTTACAGCACTTTTAGAATATGCTGGAGCACAGTACATTTGAAGTTTCCCCTTTACAGCAGTTAATATTTTTTTTGTAAAGAGTAAATATAGGGGCTTGGTAGAGCATTTGCTGGACCGAGCAATGTATCTCTGTTTGTAAGGAATTTTATGAAGATTAGGAATCCAGTATAGGTAGGGTAGATCGAACACATCTTGGTTGACTGGAATGTTTAAAGTATTAAACACTGTAATGTGATTTTGAAGAATTTCATCTTTAGAAAGTGAACTGCGAGTATAAATTGGATTTCAAGACATAGGATTAAAACCAAGTTCTTCTAAAATACAGTTAAAATAATGAGCCTTACAAACAAGGGTGGTATTGTTACAAGGCTTGTCTGCTGGAATGATTACTTATTGGTCATGTAGTCTTTCTAATTCTTTTATCACCTCCGATTTAGTGTAAAAGTAAGGATAGATGGTTTCCATATTGACTTTTGACTTTCTAATACGATTGTTTGATATATCTTTAAAACACTTAATCCTTCATACAAAGTGTTCAGGTCTTCCCTTTCATATTCAGCTCAACGTCTGGCATAATCTTCGACAGAATTCATAATAGAAATGAACTTCTGTCGCCCGCATGGCACAGTGATTAGAGCGTTTGCTCTAGAGTTGCGAGTAAGGAGTTGGTGCTCACGTCGCAGGTTGGATTCCCAATACAGGACGTGGAGACCGGTCCTTCAAATGAGACCTTATAAACCGAGGTCCCGTGTCACAGTAGGTGCTGACACAAAAAGATCCCTCACTGCTTAAAGACCGTAAGTACCGAGTACAGGTCTAAATTTGCAGCTCTGACTTTGCACCGACATGTGGTGGCGTCTCAATATGAGTGGAAAAATTCTCGAAGGAACGTTAAAATACAAACTTTCGCCAATCAAAAGATCGGGATTCTGTATTTAGGACCTATTAAGATGATTGCTTTCAGGTCTTCATTTTCAACTATATTAATATCACCGATAATGTGTCCAGCGGGACTGTAGTTGAAAGAAGAAGAAGAGCAAGAACACTTAAGAGAATTTTATTTTAGATCTTCAATATCAAGGCATTGTAAGGTTTGTTTATAATTGAAAAGTTTGGAAGCAACAGTTTGGGAATATCTGTGGGAAATCCAGGATGTAGACTTCAAGTTGAAATATGGTGGAAAGCAAGACTGAACATTTTATGATTAAGAATGTTGCTAATCTTCGCAACATCTATTTCTTTGTTGGCAAATTTAAGTTTAAGGTACCGCGAAGGGTTGAGTAAGAATTATCTTCTGACACACGCGGTGGCTTAAAGACCCTGTGTTGGACAACACCCATAATCAACAACACTACCTTGTTTTCTGGAGTTGAAGAATCTAAGTATGGGCTTGCTATATCTTCTTCAAATTGTCCATTCAAAAAATTTCAAGGGAACCGAGTAAAGTTTAGTGCGAATGTGATGAAGAGCTTATTTTTTATTGATGTAAGGCAAAAGTTAATCAAAAGAGACATCATGTATATTTGACCTATTGTATGATCGATTTTCATGACTACGCATACGTCTAGGTGTATTGTTAAAAAGTCCCATGACATTCATTTTGGCACATTGTGGATGAAATATATGGAGATAATGAACAGTATTCAAGCTCAAAAGTCCATTCAAACAATACAAACCAGGAGCAGAGCAAACACGGACCTCTAAAACATCAGAGGTGGGATCAGGTCCATGGAGGAGTGAGCACCCCCTGCAGACCGATCACACTGGCGTGTGCTCCTTGTCATGATCGGGAAACAACGGAAAAATCCGTCGACAATTCAGTGGGTAAATAATGGCCTAACAATTAGTATTAAAAAAAAGCACATGACTTAATGATAGATTGTATTGCTGACAAGGTCATTGTATCGACCATAGTACTTACGAAATGATGACTTTTAACGAGACTGTTGATATTTTTTATCAACTTGTTTGTCAATAATTTATCTCGTTTAGAAATTGTTCAAGAGTATGCTCTTGCGTATCGAATCAATTGAGAGATATAAACCCCATATGCAGGTCTACGAAATGGATTACTTAAAGTGGGAGTGTTTGTTGGATGATAATTTTTTCCAGAATTCTAACCCTCATTTAGAGAACAGAGTGGCCAGGGAAATTGAAATGTTTATAAAGATGTTGATGGTCCCCATTATTTATTTCAAGGCTATGCCCCGACATTCTCTTATTAAGGTCAGACGACACTTTCCTCAATAGTATATAATTTTTTCCAAGAATTGTCATTGAAGCATTGCTACTATACTATACTGTAACAAGTTACCTGACAAAAACTGAGGCACCCTACAAGGCATTTGTGCAAGATACCAGAGGATGCTATTTACTACATAATCCTATTGGAAATCACTAGCATTGGCAATATCACAAATTTTTTATGTCTTTCTTTACTTAGACATTTTGAAAACAATTTTAAAAATCACAAGATAATGATAATTATGATAAATCTGTTGTATATTTCAAAGGGTTACAAAACAGATATTCGAGAAACGTGTCGTCAGACCTCAAGTGAACCCTTTGTTTTCCCAATATAAATCAGTCCGCATAGAGTACTTTCAATTCCATAAACAACATTTGAAGTTTTACAAGTAAAAATGTCACTAGTTCAGCATAAAATCTATGTCAAGTAAGGTTTTATAAAAGGTTTGATTTGTTTTCTATCAAAACTGGTTATCTAATATTACATAAATACTTGTGGAAGCCTATAGTTCCCTGATGAATATAGATAATATTTTTACCATTTTAGAGATAAGAAATCTATTTAGGAAACTGTCTTACCTTTGGACCTATATCTAGTGTAAATGTTTTAGATATGTGTTAATAAAGGATTGAATTAGCCTTCCCCCCCCCCCAATTTTTTTCTCACAATCTAGCCTTGTTGGAAACTGATCGAAACTTCACTCAAGAGCTGTTCCAAATGATACTAAGTTACCTGCTTGATTTTAGCAATCATATGCATTGACGTGATGAAAAAAAAGGTTGCGGTGATAGGATCTGGTGCAAGCGGACTGACCGCCATCAAGTGTTGTGTGGATGAAGGGTTACATCCAGTGTGTTTCGAGCGAACAGATCACATAGGTATAATTATGATCACAACCAGTAATTATGTTTGACACATCATATGATTAATATTATAGGCTGATTAAAATATTTTATAATATCAGATACATACAG